GGGTGTCTTTTGTCTGTCGTTCTTCAAACATTACAGTAGACATATTTTGGTTTACAAACGGTATCATTTCATCTGTTCGTCACGTTAGCATCCGGCTAACGCATCCACCATTATTGTTTTAAGTGTTTACAGTTTAGCAGCTAAACTTTAGCTGTGGGCAATCACTTGCATAAGTGTTTTGTATTTTATGTCTTTATTATAAGAACGGATTGGAGCACTATATTATTGTTTTATGCAAAGGTGCTTTGTCAATGGTAGCACTCGCTAACTTGCTCAAGGACTCCTCTCTGTGCCAATCACAGCAGGCTTGGCCAGCTGACCAATCAGAGCAGAGTAGGCTTATGGAAGGGAGGGGTTTGCTCCAAACTGGCTTGGAATGAACCATTTAGAAATCATTGGCAAATGACTGTAATATTAAATGTATATTCTGATAAAATTACCAATGTTTTCTGACCTTAGATGCGTTTAAACCTGTTGTAGGGGACTCCAACACAATATTAGGACACTTTACAATACCATATGACCTGCTCTTTAAATTACTTTATTTTTCATGTCTCTGGGTAGACATCGTCCAGGGTATGGACGAAGGAGATACGGTTTCAGTGGGAAAGCTTCGTCTGCTACAATGACGTGATTCACCTTTCCTAATTCAGGAGCACCTGGAAGTTCGGCTGGTGGAGGAACATTCAAAGTTCCTTCTCTGAGCCCTTTCCCAAGTGCTGAATTTGAGAAGATGCCACCATCGCTATTGCTCCCATAGCTGCCCACGTCAATCACTAGAAAGCGATAATCCGCATCAACTACAGCCAGCAAAAACCACAGAAAATGTACCCTTGTAGTTGAAATAGAGGGAGCCTGAATTTCCAGGGGCCTGAATAACAATGTGCTTTCCGTCCATTGCCCCCAAACAATTGGGAAAGTTCTAGCTTTCCTTGAATCTCTTAGCTGTGTTCCTCCACACATCTTCTGTGGGCACTGGCATATGTTCTTCTTTAAGACTAGACCAAAATACTTCACATGTCTCCGGAACTATTTCAGCTACAGTCGAGATGGCAAGGCGAAAACTAGATGCAATGGTCGTGAACGAATCACCAGTACAGAGAAATCTGCAAAATAAAACATTGATATATCATTCAGCACTGAGTGTCAC